GAAAAAAAAGAAAAGGAAAGGGAGTTTCTACAGCAAAGTTGAGAAAGGTTTAAGGGAGAGCTTTTGTTCAACTTGGTTATGGTAAGGTAATATTGGCTTTAATTTAACTTAGTCCAACTTAATCTAGAATTATATTGTTAAAATTATTTGTGATGAAATCGAGCAAGGGAAGAAGTTAAAAAAAAAAAGAAATAAGGGTTTTAGACATGCAATGCTATTAAAGTACGTGCAAGTAGAAATTTACCTCAGAGCTGCACTTCTCTTCTTAATTTGAACGCTCAAACTTTGTCGTGGATGATTTTCTGGTTGAAAATCTGAAAAATATTTGAAAGAATGGATTCAGTCAGTTATGCAGTTATGCTATTATGCTTAGATACATGTTTATGTAAGCTAGAATTTAAATAATTCATTGAATAAGGATCATAAAGGCATGCTGAATTTCCGCATCTATATAAAGAGCTCCTAAAGTAACGAAGGGCTGCTCCTATAGTTAATTTGGGCTGAAATAAGTAAAAGACCTATGCTAATTTCTAGGAAAAGAACTCCAAGTTGTTTGTGGTTGTTGCTGAAGTTAACCGGAGCTGATTTAGAATTTTGAAAGGACTCCAAAAGTTATTTGCGGTTAGTACTCCTAAAGTTAATTGGAGCTGGCTAGTAACTAATTTTCATATAGTTTGTATTTTACGTGTAGATCATGCACACCAAAATTGAAGTTAATTGAATATTTTTAATTAAGGTCAAATCCCTTATTTATACCCTAAACATTATTGTTTTTTTAGATCAAAAACCTCCAAAATTTTCATTTTTAGTCAACACTTTCTAAAATTTGAAATTTGTAAAAAACCTCTATTTGCACCCTAAGGTCCCTGACTTACTCGTAACCTGGTTGCTAATTTTGGGATTTTATGGGTCTCAAATTATAGAGGGTGTTTATCAAGGTAAAATTTCTAAAAGGTATTAGATCGTGAAAAATAATAATGCATAGATACAAACATAGGGTTTGACCTTTTAATTATCTAATAACTATTCATAACTTTAAACCATGTAATACATAATAAAAAGAATAATTTTTTTGTTTACACATAATCTACACAAATAAAATATTAAATTCAATAGTTTTCTCCTTTTTTTTGTGAAATATTAAATTCAATAGTTGACTTTCAAAATAAAAACTCTACGAAAATTTATTAACTAATGTACTTACAGAGGTATGAATTCATCCTAACTCAACATCAAAGTAGTACTTCATTCAGCGATCACAAGCTTCTTAAACTGCCTGCCTAACGCAACGTTAAAAGAAAGAGATTAACAAAAAGGTACAAATTGAAAGAAAAAAAAAAAAAAAAAGGAGAACTTATGCTCTATTAGTATGGTTGTGATTTAATTTTTTTGTTTTGAATTTTATAAAATTTGTAATTATTGAAAATAAAAATAAAAAAAAAATTAACAATTTATTTAAGATAAGTTTTAATACTAGTAATTGAAAATATGAATTTGTTTAAAATATTAAAATTATTTTTTTCGCACTTCTCTAATAAGTCATAATAATATTCGTAAAATACATAAAACTAATTGAGTCTTTTTATTTAAAATTAAAATTTATAAAAATAAAAATCAACAACTATAACTATATTAAATAGAGACTTTTAATATATATATATATATATATATTTGCATCAGTTTGGAAATTTGAATCATACAGAAAGGAAATAAAAAGATTTAAAACAAGAGGCATAGCCCAAAAATCTAGACTAAAAGGGTGGCATTTTGTTTTTTTGAAAAAAAAAAGTTGCATTTAAACTCTCAGATATCTTTCAGAAAAAAAAAGGGGGGAAAAAGAAAGAAATAAAGGAAAAAATCCTAGATATCT